AAGCACCACCCGAACCTTCGGGGCCAGGCGTTGCGGAAACGCCTTGGACTTCGTGAGCTTCTGTGGGGCCTCAGGCGTCTGAGATCCCACAGAAGTCTCTGTAGGGGTGAGGGGACTGGGTGGGCACTCAGTGTCTCGAAGACTATACTGGGTACCCACTGATGCCTTTGACAGCGACCTAGTCCCCCTGACGGCCGCCTCGGCGTATGTCCTCCTTGAAGGAACGAAAAGCGTTTTCGTGCCTCATGGTAGCTCAAGTTTTCCTTTGTTTTTAAGGTTAAAATTTCTTTCTCCTCTTTAAACTTTGGACACGATCGCGAGTAAGCAGGATGGGAACCAGTGCAGTTGATGCACTTAGGGGTTGAGCTGCCGCACGTATCTGTTGGGTAGTCTGTGCATGCACACTTTGCGCAGGTTGTTTTTCCGCGGCAGGTGGCAGAGCCATGACCAAACCGTTGACACTTGAAGCAGCGTCTCGGGTTCGGGACGTATGGGCGCACCTTACAGTGGAGGTAGCCCGCCTTGATACTTTGAGGCAGCACAGTGGAAGAGAATGTAAGTACAATATGTTTTGTTGGTCGCTCGTTTCCGTCTTTACAAAGCAGGATTCGTCGTACTGCCGTTACTCCTTGACTGGAAAGACCTTCCAAAATCTCCTCGTTACTTGACTCTAGCAAATCATCCTCGGAAATTACTCCTTGGCAATTATTTAGTGTTCGATGTGGAGTGACGGAGACTCTATACTCAGAAATCTTGTTTAGGTCCAAGAGGGCAGCATTCTGTGTGCCATTTTCCACTTCAACAAGCAAGTCACCAGATACTAGCTTCTTTGCTTTGAAGTTTTTGCCTACAAGGGTTTCTAGGGTTTTTGCGATCAGAAAAGGTGACAACTTCGCAAGAGGTTTTTCGTCTTGTTCAGAGTGCACAACAAGGAATCGGCTAAAAGTGTTCTGTACCGGTGAAGACTTATCATTCAGTTTTACTTCGGTCCGACCCCTTTTCAGGGGCCGATCAGAGGGTTTAGAACGGAGGGGTGCCATAAGAGGGGCAAAGAATGTTCAGAATCCGCGGTGCACCGCCCACCACCGAGCCCAACAAGGGGTTAGGTAACGCACCATAACAAGAAGGGCTTGGCTGGAGACGTTACGCTAACAGTGCTGCCGGGAAACTATACCCAAGTGTGGGTCAAGACAGAGGTCTATTGCCACCCAAGGTTAGCCCTTGCCGCCAAAGAGGGGTGAAAAAGGAGGAAGAGAAATGAGAGAGAAATAAAGGAAGCAGGAAAGGTAAAGGTAAAAGATTGGAGGGGTACTCCTTGGCAATTATTTAGTGTTCGATGTGGAGTGACGGAGACTCTATACTCAGAAATCTTGTTTAGGTCCAAGAGGGCAGCATTCTGTGTGCCATTTTCCACTTCAACAAGCAAGTCACCAGATACTAGCTTCTTTGCTTTGAAGTTTTTGCCTACAAGGGTTTCTAGGGTTTTTGCGATCAGAAAAGGTGACAACTTCGCAAGAGGTTTTTCGTCTTGTTCAGAGTGCACAACAAGGAATCGGCTAAAAGTGTTCTGTACCGGTGAAGACTTATCATTCAGTTTTACTTCGGTCCGACCCCTTTTCAGGGGCCGATCAGAGGGTTTAGAACGGAGGGGTGCCATAAGAGGGGCAAAGAATGTTCAGAATCCGCGGTGCACCGCCCACCACCGAGCCCAACAAGGGGTTAGGTAACGCACCATAACAAGAAGGGCTTGGCTGGAGACGTTACGCTAACAGTGCTGCCGGGAAACTATACCCAAGTGTGGGTCAAGGCAGAGGTCTATTGCCACCCAAGGTTAGCCCTTGCCGCCAAGGAGGGGTGAAAAAGGAGGAAGAGAAATGAGAGAGAAATAAAGGAAGCAGGAAAGGTAAAGGTAAAAGATTGGAGGGGATAGTAGAAGAAAAGGCGACTAGACTGAATCATCCTGGCCAGGCCTTACCAGGACTCCCGTCTACAGGAAGCAGGGGCCAAAGTGGTGTGTTGCCTCGCCCGGAAGCCCCGAAGGGTCCAAACCTACCCCGGGCTCAGCTCAACCACCAGGATGCCCTTTTCCCTGGACACGGGCTCGCCACGCACAGCCAGACGTGGGTGGGGCTTACCCACTTGTTACTCAGGGTCCGTTATGTAGCCAACGTGGCTGGGGTCCGTGGTGACGCTACTCACCAAGCACCTAGCACCTAAGGTGCAGGCGCCCCCTGCGGGGCTCAGGGTCCGTGGAGACGCCACTCTCCAAACACCTGCTTTCACAGGTGCCCCCTGCGGGGAGTTTAAAATGGGAATGCAATATGCCATTTCTGACATACTAAAAAACGTGTAGTTTTATTGTCTTTCCTGCAAAATGACCGGTGAAAAATCGACTAACAAATTTATCAATTGATTTGTGTATTAAACGGTAGCGATCAGTAGGATTAATTTTTAATCAAACCACAGCTCCAATCAACATTCAATGTTTTATGAAACCTATGGTTTGTGTGAGATACCAAAAATATATGGGACCAGCTGTCGTATACAAACCACAACACTAAGATTATGGAAGCATCCGACTTAATAATAATCGCTTTGCTGAATTTCCGTGCATGTGAAATGATACTCCATAACTAGGGTTCTGCGTTTTCGGTGTTGTTGTTGTTGCTGTTCTTTTTTTTTCTAGAAATTGGGGGAATTTTTGGGGGGCGGGGGGGGGGAGGGAGGAGGAGAAGAGGGGAGGGGGTTCCATTTCTTTTACAGATTCACTGTTTTTTGTGTGAATTGGTGTAGTCATAACCAATTTAAACAAAAACCACGGAATCTGCAGGAAAACATTAAACCCCGAAATAAAATACCCCCGATTTCGAGAAGAAAAAAACACAGAAAATGCGGAACCCTAACCATAGCCTTTAGTAGGAAGAAACGACAGCAATAACAACAAGCATTGAATGAGGAGGGCTCAGCTCAGCCGGGAACGGACTTGCATCATCAAGATCCGAAATTCGGTTGTGTGTATGTTTATACAGCCTAGAACTTGGTATGCCTCAAAGGGCGACGAGTCTCCCAGCTGTAGATGAGCAATTTAGCGAGTGCAGTACAGGGAAGGGGGCCCATGGGGCCTGGGTTCCCCCCTCCCCGAAATCTTCCATTTTGCTGGGGTCTCCCCTCCCCCTCATACAGCATTCTGTAATGGGCGGCCGCTGACTTTCCTTCTTCATCAGAGTGGAAAGGCTGGAAGTTTTAAATTCGCACCGAACCTGAGCGCACTGAACGTAGTAACTTAATGAAACTTTTATTTTATTTGAATCTCGCTTTATTCTAAAAGTTATATAGGCAAATTCAAATTACAAAAACAAGCAAAAAAAACACCTCCTTCATGACGTCTTTCGTCGCTTGAGTGGCCGTGAACTAGAGGAGGGATAGCGAGCTCAGCGAGCGCTCACCGCTGCTGCACTCCGCGTCAACGGCTCGAGAGGACACCACTAAAGCATGTTCTGGATAGGCTGTATGAAGCGGGCAGCCAGGGCGGCTCACATTGCATTTGCTGCGAGATTAAACACTAATTTGGTATGACACTTCATTGGCCACGAACGACAGCAAACACGGGATAAAGATCAGTTCAGTACAGCAGCCACTTCACGCTGCCATACTTCCAAACCTGCTCCGAAGGCCTTCGGAACCGGTCGGATCCTCGACCGCAGCGGCGCCGGGTACATTCGAGACCTTTCTACGCTCACCACTATACTCTGTTTCGCCTTATGATGTACCGCAGGAAAGGCTACAAGCACGAGCTCTTTGCTCTGAAGCACATCTCGGCGGCACAAGCTCTCTTGACTTAATTAAGAGTGGCTGCCAACACTATGAGCTTACGCTTTTAAAGAAAAGCTTTTAGCGGCTCTGACCAGTATTAAGGCCAGGACCAAACACAGCACTTTCAGCACCGCGGGTCGCCTTTGTAGGTAGAGAAGGTGTTTACGTCGTCCGGTTAAAATATGACGCATTGATATTTAGTTATTCTCTCCGTGCCCGCTGGCTTGCCCGAACACCAAGAGATGTGGAAACCGCAAAAGAGGTAGATGCTTAAATATGATTGCAGGGCCCCTTTAATGATACCTGCAATTTTACATAACAGCTAGATGACGGGACAATCAATCAAATGCTTGGCGAAATCCAAAAATACATCTATCTGTCCCCTACTATCAATGCACTGGCTGCAATCGTGAAAGACGTCAATAATCCATGTTGTTGTTTTTTTTCACATGAGGTAGTTTTATGTTATTTTTGTGTCAACTTCAGCTTGTGCGCCTTTGTGTCTAATATCTGCAAGATAGTATATGTGAAGCAAAATTTATTAGTGCAAAGCACTGTTTCCTGACTAGTAATGTTATAAACTACTCTGGCATACCACTGCTAAAGGGTCAATTGCAGTGCCAGTTTACCTTTTTATAGTAGAGTGAATATTTATAACAAAAATGAACAGGTTTTCAGTGACATTTCTAATACAAAAAAAATCTACAACAGTGGTTTGTGATTATGATCAAAAATGCTTCGAGCACTATTTTTATGTGAACTAATGTGCTATTTTGTTCAATACTTAATGCTTTCGCTCGGTACGAAAGCATGCAGTTGCTATTCTTAATGTTCATAAGATGACGTTGCCAGCATGATCAACACATGAGTTTAAACCTGGGTTACAAATGATGCGACGAGTTAAATATTTGTATGAATTTTCTTTCCTTCCACTTCAAAGTTAGGGATGACCTATATTCGAATATGTTTTTACTCTCAACAATTTTGATTACTTGTTGAATGTTCAAACTAACTTGTAAAGCTCCTTGCTGTCAATTCGCTTTGTTTAGGGGATCATTATCCAAAAGTTCTTGTTTTTAAAAGTAGTAACACACTCCTTAGTGCACTGAAGTGGTGTATGTCTGTTCCACGTGGTCTAAAATTGATGGTTACGGTGCTTGTACTGTGACAATTCTTTTCTCTTGCAGCCCAGCTTGAACCCCACCATTGGCGTCCTGGGCACCACTCTGAATAAGCTGCTTCAGTTGTGACTTGTAGCACAAAGTTTCTGTCACCCAGTTCATTGTCATCTCTGAACCAAAGCATTGGTCCTGCCAGCTAGTCACCACTTGAATAAAAGTTGAAATGGTGCAGTGTGTTTGTGTAAATAAACTGTTGAAGTTGTGACAATATTTTTGTTTTTGTAGGTAATGAGAATTATTTACTTTGAAAGATCCCATCCATCCATCCATCTATGATCCTTCATGCCATAAAGTATGTACTGTTCCCAAAGTAAAATTTGACAGTCTGGCAGCTGCCGCTGGCCTGGAAAATTGTGAGGGCTCACGCCTGTTAACTACATGTATTGTTTTGTGAACCTCCTCCGACTCCCTTGTGTACCTGAGAACTTAGGAGGTCAGTTTTAAGTCGAAGGGGGATAGCCTATTTTTATTTACAAGGAAACTTTTGTACTTACATAAGCATTATGACCCATAGAGGTTGAACTCCATGGGACGAATATGCTGTGAAAAATCTAATTTTGCCCGGCGGCTTTTGTTCTGCGCATGGAATTGGCACAGTGGCTGCTACGTCCCGCGCAAAGTGAGTATGTTGTAGGGCGACATTCTTCAGTTATTCGTCGCATGGGACTGGGAGGACTAAGGTTTTCATGTTCCAGTATAATAACAATAGTTATGTTCAACAGATGTATGCTTGAAAAGTAAACATTTTGGCAAAATTGTGCCTGGTTAGGTGAGTATTAATAAAAAGCTGCAGGTATGCTAACCAGCTGTGTTCAAATAGCCCAGCATTTCGCGGCCTACTTGTTCACGGGTGACTTATTTGGCTGGGAGTTTGTCTTTCTCTTCTCCTTGTCGCTGCCTTTAAATCTCTCCTTTTTGTGACACTTAGAAGCCCGTGAATATAACTGCTTGGGAAGGTTCGGGTTCTTTGTATGCTGAATATGTCATGACTCAAGAGTAATTTTTTCCAGGTTCGAGATGAACTGAAAAAACAACTTTTTATAGTTGTAGCTTATTCAGCATACAAAGAACAACCAGAACAGGTCGATCGGTACCATCCCAAGCAGTTATATCCACGGGCTTTAGGGTGCAACAAAACGAGGAGAATGATTTAAATGGCAGCGACAAGGAGGGTAGAAATACAAACTCCCAGCCAAATAAATTGCCCGTGAACAAGCAGGCCACAAAACGTTGGGCAATATAAACACAGTTGGTTAGAGTACCTGCAGCTTCTTTTATTAGCAGATGTATGTTTAAAAAAATCAAAATACATATAGCTTTGGCTTCACAGCACATGCCTAGGCTATTAGGTACTTAAAAGGAAAACGGATGAAAATAGAAACCATGTTGAATATACCTGAGACTGGGGTAGAAAAACATAAAAGACTTTTATGTTTTTCTACCCCAGTCTCAGGTATATTCAACATGGTTAACATCCACCAGCTCGCCTGCACCCTTACTATTGTATCTATGAAAATAGAAAAGGTGAAATGGCCAACTCGAGATCGAGTTTTAAAAAAAATTGGATACAAATATTGCACTTTTCCTTTTTTTTTTAAGTATGGCTTTCCACCAGTGTTAATTCAGCCTTTATTTCTCTATCGGCAAGTACTAGGCAAGATACAAGTTCTCACAATGCCGCCTATTTGATAGTGTGCAAAGGCTAAAGCGATCAAAACATTTTCCAAATTTAGTTATGCAGTTTTGCACCGTTTCCTACTTCGTTGCTTAATTAGGTAATTATATTTCGCTGATTTTACACACTTGTCGTCCTCAATAAAATTAACACTGACCTAAGTCGGGGAGGAAAATAAAACCGGACACCCTTCGTGCTATGGGTTTTAGTTGGTACATACTGTTGGCAATCGGGTCATCTGAACACGGAAAAACGGGACACGAAGGAAAGAACTGGACAAACAGCGGTCCATTTGTCCAGTCATTTCCTTTGTGTCCCGTTTTTTCGTGTTTAGCTGACCCGATTGCCAACCCTACGTGCCTGCATAGTTACAAGGGAGCTTCTCCCTTAGCAGGCAAGCACTGCGGGAAAGTAGCAGGGAGAGGGGCTCCTCCGTTATTGTCCCAATCCCGCTGTTAAATAAAAAAAAAAAAAAAAAAAGTGTGCGTGTAACTGCAATTCATTTGTTTTGTTTTTTTAATGTTTTTTGCCTGAGTTGGTGAGTTTGGTAATCAAGAAACTCAAAAAGCTCCCATACAGCGGCCGTGCACCGCGTAGTCGTGCTTCTCTCCGGCGCGACGGGGAAAGTATGCCCAAGGGAACCATGGAACGTTTTTCTTCGTTTTAAATAATGCAGACTCGACGTAATCGCTGGTGTGGATAATGCATAAGACGCTTTTGTTTCTAACTTTATCATACTTGCAGAATCCAAACGCTGAAAAAAGGGCACAAAAAACTGAAATTTCATGTCGGATTTTATTTTCAGTGCATCAATCATCCGATATCGCGGTAATTGTTAGGTATACTTCGGGTGTCGAAAAAGGGCCCTCGTATATTTTTCGAGCTTAAATATACATTCATATAGAACAAACGTTTTAAACTAACCAGTTAGAAAATATTTATCGTCCGGGTTTTTAAGATAGGCCCAAATTCACCAATTATTTAGGTAATCTTTCCTTGTATATAATTTTTTTGTTGTAGTTGTAGGGTATGTTGTTGTTACCCTCCGCGCGCCCTTAACTTATTGAGACCGGAGTGGCTAACGGCAGCATCGACTTTATATATATATCTGCCCATTTCTGACTCTTGTCCAATCGCCGGCTAGCTGAACAAAACGACATGTCCGTCGTCCCAAAATTAGTCTACTCCGTTTGACCTTACGATGGGCCGCAGCTGGATTGACTGGGATTACTCGTAGCGTATGCTATGCTCTATGTCAACAGTATGCACTCATTTTCACCGAAAACCAACGCGTCTAAAGAGAACTTACAACCCTTTTACGCTTTCTAGAAACGTGAAGATGACGAATTTCGGTCAATTAAGAAATATTTGCTTTTGTTATCTGCGGAAGTTGGCACAAATTCTACTATACAATGCAGCACACGTACATAGATATACGTATATATATATATATATATATATATATATATATATATATATATATATATATATATATATATATATATATTATACAATATCACAACGCAGTGCCAGCAATTTTTTGCGGCTTATACGAGGGGCCATCGGCTAAAGGCGCACCTCTCCGGTAAATATAATCGATTTTGCAGTATTACAGAAGCTTTCGTCTGTAACAAAAATTTAAAATACGCTTGCGTGACTCATTTTTCAAAACAGGAAAATTGTCTAAATAGTTCTTCGGGGAAAAACAGGAGTCTCCAATGAAAACAATATTTGTTGTTTGCTATACTTTGATGGAATGCATTTATATGGTTTTCACACGGCCATGCACCACTTTTGGGCCGTGCCAAGGCGCCCCGAATTCCACTCCCTCTCCTCCCATTCTACCCCTTACCCTGTCTTGCGTAAAAGCAACTTTTTTCTTTTTTTTTTCATTTTGGTAAAACATTTGAGATTAGTTGAAGATATGCAAGGCCGTCACGAATCACACACACTTCAGCTAAAGCAGAAACCTAATACAAATGGCACTTTGGACAAGAACTCATCAACGTTTTATTATGATTATTTACTATCTGGAACGTGTTATGGGGAGTAATCACTGGCGGCCATAGCTATGTGCGCGACTGCTGAGCGCGTGCTGACGGCGAGCTTCCACAGTTATTTTGATACGTGCACTCCGCACCATCAAGATTGCCGGTCTTATCAGCCTATTAATGTGAGCTCTTTCTGAGCATGCGCTCTAGATATCGCCCTCAAACATGGCGTCCAGTGAATACCCTATACTGCCTATACTGATAAGGCGAGTGCGTTCAGCGTGTGTACCGTATACGTTGCCATGCTACTTGATGCTGGAGTAATTTGGCACGTGCTTCATCATGAAAGAATTGGTACATTACAGTGTTGTAGTAAAATACGTAATGTACATAGGTACATGACGGCGGCGGTCAGATGTATTTACAGACTACACAGCCTGAACTTAATCCCAAAAAGATCTGCAGTGCTGATCTTTGCGATCACGAGCGCGAGGTTTTGAAGTGTCTTTGACGCACGAGATTCTGCTGAGCTATGGTCACACGCGTGTGCCGTCTTTACTGCAGACATTTGTGAGACGGAGTATAGTAGTGACCATAATCCTCTGGCCCCAAATTGTTTTGAGTTTTGTCAACTTTAGATTTAGATAACAGATCACTCATTTTTTATTATTTTGTATACACCGTGCACATTTCTTTTCCTTGCAGTTCGCACACCGTTTGGCATGCACATGTAATATATTTGTTTAGAATATTTCTATATTTATAATGTATATATTATTGTAGATACTATGTTCATAGTACCGCTTACCTGTCACAGGCAAACTAAAACCTTCAGCGTCAGCACCCTCTCCTGATGCATCCTTTCGTTTATACGGTACAGCGGGACCTGTCCTTGCCTAAATCGGAATTGGGCTGTCACGCTGTATCACCCAAAGAGCAGCTTTACACTATAGTATGTGCGTATTCGTTGCCCCGGTATGCGATCAAGGGACGCGCCATCCCCATTTTAGCGTTCGCGCCCATGGCAGGTGCTTTGCACTTTCCAACGCGGCGAACATATGCACGTGCATAGGTGGTGCCATTCTCTCTGTTCGTGTCCATGCACTGTAAAAAAATTTGCACCCTCAAGGGTACTTTTTTGCTGAGGACACCCTTTCTACACCCTTTTGTTTTGTATGTTTTTTGAAAATGTGTGTAGCCATCGCCTGAAAGCCCTTAAAACACCCATGCACCTTTTAAAGGTGCGTAGGTGCAAAGGTGTTGAAGATTAGTAGGATGTATGGGTGCATTTATAGATATATTCGCAGCACCCTATCCTATAGAGCTCATGCAGTTCCCACTTATTTTTAAGTGGCAGATTTCAGACTAATCTTTGCATGGACAGGCTCGCGAGCGATGCACACATATAGTACGCGCTTGTTATTAAGCGTATGGCTTGTTAATTAAGAAAAATAAAGAGGGACTCATAAGTGTATCAGCACATGCTTACCGAAATTTCTTCACCTTGCTGCCGCGCATGCTGATTTTTAAGCTCTGTGAACCAAGTGTGACATGCACACACCGGGCGTCTCAGGTAGCATGCAGCAAATTTGAAGAGAACGTCTAAGTACCCTTTAGGTGGATGAAACCAATCGGGTAAGCAGTCGTGCTGAGATGGCGTCACCATTTGTTTTATTGTGGCTAACTAATTATGTAAAAATAATTAAACTTTTTACTTATTGATAAAAGAGCCCACTTGAGACTTAGAAAGATGTAGAGCAGCATGAGAAACACCAGATTGCGGTGCTTGCCAGCAGAGTGGGCTTTCCGTACTTCAGTTCACAATGGAAGAACGAAACGCCCACGAAAACTGAGAAAACACGTGACCACGCGCTTTCAAATCGTGGCCCACTGGGACGCGCTTCGTGGACGTCCTTTCTTGCCATGTAAACAAAACCATGCAAAGCACACCTTGTTGGAAACATCATAATGTGAGGTTTCTCATAGCGCTCTACAACTTTCCATGTCACTCATGAGGTCTTTAATGACTCAGTAATTCGATCTAGTTAATTAGTTATCCTCAGTTAAACAATAGTGACGCTATCTCAGCACGACTGCTAACTAGGGCTGGGCAATCGATCGATTAATCTACCGATTAATCGATTAATGCTTTAATTGCAATTAAATTGTTTAACCGGTTAATCGGTAAAATTTTGACGAACCAAAATTAAATAAAAATGAAACGTTTTCACTATGCAGACATGAACGAGCACACCAACATGAAGTGGAAAATTTAGGTGAAGTATTAACTTAAGGTAAACTGTAAGGGGGAGATTTGTAATTTCAGACATGTGCAGAAGGTTACACATTTCCCAGCGACTTCAACGCCGTGCGAGTGTCCGTTTAGCGCAGCAGAGACTACTGTGAGCAATAAAAGGAGGTCGCCCTCCTCGGAGAATATCAGCGAACATTTTTGCCTCATGGAGCTGAAGTAATAATGCGTGAGCGTGAGTGTTTTTTAACTGTTCTCAACTGTATATCGAAGTTGATTCATAAGTAAAATAATTGCGTCGTTTAACACATATTCAGCAAAAAACGTAGATGCAATTTTTTTAATCAATATTATTATGCATAGAAATGAACGAGACCAATTAATCGAATTAATCAATTAAAGGGTGGAGATTAATCGGGTTAAAATTTTTAATCGACGCCCAGCCCTACTGCTAACAGTTGGTTTCATCCGTGCTTACAATCTGGGATACCCCTATAGGTTTTTGAATTCTATTAGTGAATGCATGCATTCAACTCGCGCTTAGCAAAGCAAGCCACATTTTGTTATTGCAGATCACTCCATTTCCTTTTGCAAATAAGTTTTTTTTTTTCTGTGCGTTGACTAATATGTTGAAAAGCAGACACACTTTCATGTTAATATATAAATTTAAAAGGGGGTATTCCCTTGAAGAGTACAGTCATGATCTCGCTTACCATGAACATGGGTACGCCCGGCTATATGCTTCCAAGTTCACGCTAAGCGAGATCATGACTGTACATCTCACAAACAACACAACGTTGCAAGGCAGGAAGCCAACACTTCAAACTACTTTTATTCATTGCAACAAGAAACACAAGAAAAAGTTCAAATAATGTACACTGAGCAGTTTCTGGGATGTGAAATCTATATCAGAGCATGGCGTACAGAAACAAGGATCCTGGTTCCTAAAACATGAATGGCCAGTGCGTCTGTCTGGTGGCTTGATACATCAGTCAAAATGCTAGTTTCTGAAGTTTTCCTGATCACGTATGCATGAAAATGTTCATCAAATTCTATTGTCTCAAGCTTCTCTACCTGGAGCAAGACATGCCGGCTCACTGAAAAAATACCAGTGACCATGACAAAAGTTGGCTGGTCGGAAGATAAGTCGATCACTTTAACACTGCCAACTGCATGTGCAGAGCCGCCAATATCAGCCGACACCAAAGAAAAGATGTTTTCAGTGCTCATCGCATTTGCACATATGAAATTCTTTACAACGAAAGGAAGATGCTCATACAGTAAGGGCTTGCATCCCCTGGTGGTCATGTTCATATCGCCGGTTTCACAACACTGCAGATACATCTCATAAGCTTGATGACGATTTGCCAAAGTGGACACGATATTCTTGAAGTTTTTAAGCTTTCTGGCTAAGTCCTTAAAGTATTGATGCTTGCCCTCATAGCGCATCGACCAAATCCGAACAAGTGGCCCATATATGAGCATGTACCTAGGGTAATGAATCAGGAAGTGTAATTTGCAAGGTACACGAACAGCTGGAAACACATCTTTGAAGTCTACGGAGAAGCATGTGATCAGGCGTTCGAGGTATGCAATATAGTCTACTGTTACTCGCTTGCTCATGATTATGTCTACTACCTTTCTGAACAAAAGGTACAACTCCCACACCTTTTGGCCCCTTGGTATGCACTCCCCCACATAAAAAGGCAAGTACCGAAATAAGCAGTACAGCTGCGAAGCACTCCCTTTGATAGTTCCTTTTTTTTGCAACATACTAGTTGACACCAGTTCCGGCTTATTACGCTTATCATCCTCACTGTATTTATACGTCACAATGGCAGTGTTTAACAATTCCAAAGTAAAAGTGCCATCCTTGACAAAAAAGGAAATAACCTCCTTTAGCAACAGTGGTATAACTCCCTTGTGTAGATCGTGCATGACGTCAGGCGGAAGGTGTTGTGTAGGCTCAAAGCCAGAAAATGTGACAGCACATTCACTGCGCACGCCATACAAAGGCAAGCAGCTGACACCACGAGATAGCAAGCTGAGGTAGTGGTTGTGGAGAGATGGTGTTCGCTCCTGAAAGTCAGACGGTCGGTGCTTTGTTCCTATCTCCTGATGTAAGGCCATGCAGTATCGGCATATCCTACCATGACTGAAGCTGCACCTGAAACCGCCTAATCGGTGCAAAGAAAGATTATCCCCTGTAACGAAGAACACGGACCCTTTGAGAAGTTCTCCGTTAACAGTAACGCCTACTGTTTCTAACAGCGCCACATCATTTACAAGGGGTTCAAGTATTCTCTTTAAGCCATACTTTGCTACAAGTTTTTCTTTTGCTAGCACTGCCAAGTGGATGGAGGAAAGCTTCGATCTAGAGTCAAGAGGAGCATTCAGTACTGTGTAATACACTGCCATCAGTTTCTGCTTTCCTAGTCTGCTTGCCAGGGCATCACAGACCTCAAATTCGTCGGTGTAAAGTTGAATGCACAGCTGTCTATTATCACCCCGAAAGTATGCATGATCTTGAAAAGCTGTTCCGTCAAAGACATCAACAAGGTACTCATCTGACCTTGGTGAATGTGAACACCCGACATTGCCAGAAAGGTTTTGCAGTGAGTTCTCTAGGACTTTTGTCACAGAAATATAGCTGAAAGTCTCTTTTTTTCCTCTTGAGTCTCTACCAATGCAAATACTTTCTGGCTCTACAAAAGGCAGGCAGAACTTCCAATACATTTCTCGTTCATGCTCATTTAGTAGCTTTTCAAGCTTACACTCAACACATGATTTCACATTATTCCTTACCAGTTGCGAAGGAGAAAGGGAAAGCTCAAACATGCTCTGCAGATACAAAACATCAGTGGATATATCTTGCAAGGTAGAACTTGGCAAGCGCTTTCCCTTTTTCCACTTCAGCTGCAAGAGAGCAAATTGCTTGAACAAGTCTGGCCCATCGCGAGGTGAGTCAGGCACACTGGTCTCCATGTCTTGTGAAATATCGGCATTCGCACTGAACGGCATAACTGGAAGGCTGTTGAGTTGCTCCCTCCTGGTGGATGCAACACCATGCTCCGACTCCTCGCTTCCTTCAGTGTTGTACTGAATGTTGTTTTCCTCAAGGATTTTCGCATGATACCTCGAAACGTGCTTCCGGTATGCTCCATATGTGACATATGTCTTTAAGCACCCTTGAAGGCCACACAGCCAGTTTCTTTCGTGTCCGTGCTCCGCATGAAGGTGCCTAAATAAGGACCTCAATGTGACCTCTCTTTTCTTGCACTTGTGGCACTGAAGGAAACGGATTCCAGGCATCTGTAAAGCAAAAACTCTTTGTTCAAACAATAGAGCAACTTTTCGGTGACAATCTCAGCCTTTTTTTAAATTTGCGATAAAAAAGTTATCCTAATATACTAACCTGTTAATATCTTCAGAAAATTATCCTTGTATGTAATGACCATATAGGTCGGTTTGCCCTAAACACAGCTAATTTAACCATGGTTAAAATAAAGTTATAGGAAAAAAGTTCCTAGTAAAGCACAAATAACAACTGGGTAAATAAGTTTTCAACACTTATAAATGGGCGTTAGTTTACGTAATCTCATGGCTTGAAGAACAGCAGCCATCATCGCCTCATCTTATTTGTCAGACATAGTTTTTTCTTGCCGACTCCTCTCCTGATCCACGAGATAGCAACTAGCGACGTTAATAAAAACCCACAGCACTCCAGGTGTCCCTACTTCTCGTCACCCTATAACAAACACAGTAGTAGTTGCGCATCAGTATGGTTTTCGAAACAAACTTTTAGCTTTTACTTCGTAAACACTGGCTTTAAAATTAACACATGGCTTCTTAAAACATAATACTGATTGCTTCGCACCTCAACATTATACAAATTGTTGATATGATGTACCTTAAATAAATATAAATTTTGTACTCGCAACAAAGCTGCATTTTGTGTCTTATTATACGCACAGCGCCAAAAGGCCGGACAGAATGGGAACAGACATTCACTGACTTACAACTCCTTGCAAAAGTCAGTAAATTGTGCGTACTTCTCTCCTAGTATTTTGGCACTGTACGTTTAGCAATCATGCCTTACCAACACGCACAAGCTTCCATTTACGTCCAAATCCTGTAAAATAGCTTGTGAACCCAAAATACATACATGGTAATCTCGCCACTTCCGGCCGCCATGACAGGGGGCCGAGACAACTTTCGGTTCAGGTTTTGTTTGCATGCTTTCAAAGGGAAACATCACCACTATGTTTCGTGTTTTCCGCAATTAAATCAGTATTTTGTTTTTACGTTTTCCGCTCTCATTGGCTTCTTCAAGTGCTGTAATGTCTATTAACTGGGAAACTTTGCTATGGCAGATCTCTGTGAAATAAAAGATGCAGCAAGCCGCGGCCGTCGAGCGCGAACAGTCTCTGTCACGCGAGCATCAATTTCACGCTCACAAGGATCGCTTCATTTTGAAATAGAGATACACACATCCGACTCTTCCGGACATCGAAGATACATGATCGATCGAATCACACTTGAGTTCTTAGGAAAATAAAGATTAGTTGGAAGATTAATTAGTGTATACGCCCAGATCCAACTTTTTTATTTTAGTCTTAACGTAGGTTTTCATAACACAGGCAAACTTGGCACTGCATAAAATTCTTAATAGATAAAATAAGTTTTTACCATTTTTTTATATCAGAGCAAAATTATTTGATGACTTTACTTTTCGTGTGCATGTGAACTTGTGAACAAACGCTTTATGTGAGCCCTGAACAAATTCCATGTCGTCGAACATAATTGCGCTTGTGTGTGTGCCTGTGTGCGCCCAAACAGAACAGTTCGAACAAATGCGATATTGCCACGCTCGTCGCAGAGCGAGCGCGTACGTGCCGAGTGCTTACCTTGCTGGGCTGTCGAGCGGAGGATCTGGGTTCGATTCAAGGAACTGGAATGTTCTTTTATTTATTCTTTCTGTTTGGCGTTCTCACAAATTTTAGAACATCCTCGTCTGATCGAGTTACGAATGTTCTACGCGCCGAACGTTCTAAGCCGAATGTTCCAGAAACGCACGCGGCTACAAAAGTTGCCCCGCGTGGCAAGCCGGAGTCAGCTTTCGCCCCATGCGCTCGATCCTGCCGTTTCGCCGACATCGACGCCTGCAACGCTAACCTGCCCTCTTTTGTTTTGTGCAAAAGTTCACACCATTAAGCGTTCAGTTTATTCAATTATTCGCCTCCTCACCACTTGTCATTCGTGACAATATGTCCCGCGTGATCGTAACAAGTTGGACGCAAAACTATAGTTATAGAATCCAAAACTGACGTCCGCGTCTGCACCTGTATCCGCGTGAATATCGAGATCGCCGTGGTACGCCGACGTTGCCAGAATTACGAGATCTCCACGCGTCTTCGAAAACAAGCCGCTTGCATTTTGCGGGGAACGAGCGGCACAATTGTACTATACGCTGCACGGCTTTTTCCCAATCACGTATCTCTACACGTCGTCGAAAACGCACCCCTCACTTTTTTTCCAGGCACGACCGAGCACCATTGGCAGAATCTTTCGCACCCACCTTCAACTACGTCCAACAGGGCGTAGTTTCGCTTTGGCCAGCTCGAACACTCAAGGCGACGCCGCGCAGTTGATGAAGCGATACTGTTCTCAGAAAAAGTACAACGTAGACTCTAACCAATTTCTTCAATGTGCCCGACGTTTCGAAGCCAGCTCGGCTCCTTGTTCACGGGTGACTGTATATGGGCCCAAAGGTAGCAACCTGTCGTCGTTTTCTTCTCTTCTCTCTTAGCTTTGTTTTCTTCTTCTGTTTCTGTGTGTGGCGCATTTTAGTCCGTGTATGTAGCTGCTTGGAAGCGTTCCGGTGGATCGGTTCAGGTTGTTGCTTGTATTTTGTATGTGCCAAGATTCTATTAAGAGCCGCTTTCTCCAGTTTCTTTCTGTGTCGAGGATGGAGCTGCAGTCAAAGCCAATGGCGTGGCCGGTCTTCTGAGCATGTTCCGCCAGCGCGCTGCCTTGGATGTCATTCTTCTTTACGTCATACTTATGTCTACGCAGACGTTCGGGAAAGTTCTTTGTTTCCCCCACATAAGAGGCGTCGTATTCGGCACAAGGAATTTGGTAAATCAGGCCTTGAGCTTTTTCTTTTGGTGGACGATCCTTTGGAAGAGGAAGAAAATGGCCCAGAGTTGAGACAGGTTTATGCGTAACTGCAATGCCGTACGGTCTCAAAACGCGGGCTAGGACCTCGCTCGTGCCATGGAGGTACGGGACGCACATGCGGCTGGAGGTGTTTTTGTTCTTGGATGTAGGAGGGTGACGAAGTTGTTTGTATATTTTGTTGACAAATCTCGTGGGGTAGTTGTTTTTCCGAAGGTCTCGCTTTATAATATCGACTTCCATCTTAAGTGACTTCTTTGTTGAGCAGACCGTGAGGGCGCGTCGAAAGAGCGCCGACACTACAGAGGATTTGTGAGTTGTAGGGTGGTCTGACGTGGAGTTTAGGTAGCGACCGGTGTGCGTTGCTTTCCTGTATACTTGGAAGGATAAATGGTTCCCTGTTTTTTCCACTGCCACATCCAGAAATGGAAGGCACCCGTTAGACTCATGTTCAACCGTAAATTGAATTGAATGGTTGCTACCTTTGGGCCCATATACAGTCACCCGTGAACAAGGAGCCGAGCTGGCTTCGAAACGTCGGGCACATTGAAGAAATTGGTTAGAGTCTACGTTGTACTTTTTCTTATTACTTTCCTAACCAGGCGGAGTTCCGCCGAAATGTTTACATTTAAGTCGATACTGTTCTCGCACACGCTCTCCCGTGCACGAAAAACACGAAACAATTACATGCCGATGCCTCGGTTGATTCGTGGACACTTCATTGAATGTCTCACGTGTACGCAAGCTTCCACTGCGCCTTCAGGTAGGGTTACGTCACTTTCGCCAGGGAGGTGAAATAAAACAAGATGCGATGTTTTTTTTCTTGGACCCGTATGCTTCAGAAATACACACCGATCTACCTGACGTCCGGTTTTCGACATACCTTTTGCAATTTTCCGCTGAGAAAAACTTAGAAAATTGCGCTGCTCCTTCCTGCTCGTTCAGACATACACATCAAGATGGTCAACCGAAAGTTGTCTCGGCCCCAGGAAGTTCCGCCATTACCTTGGAATACCCTGTATATCTTTTTGTTTTTCTTCCGGTTTCTGGGTTTGGCGAGGGCGCTGTTTCCCCCGGTTAAGATACGCTCACGGGTATATTGTTCCAAATTTAACTGTTGAAGTGCAACTCGCTTTTACTTACCAGCAGAAATGTGCTGACATCAGTTGTAAGGCGGCCTCAAAGCACGGGTCACGCTCGCTCGATTTGTGCGATCTCATCTGACGTCTCCCAGCAAATCCTTTGGCGAAGGCCGCGCGGCGTGGAGGGGGGGGGGGGGGGGGGGGGGGCGCCGGTAGCGCCGCTGGAGCTCAGTGGCAGAAAAAAAAAAAAGAAGCGAAACCGCAACTAACTCTGGTTATGCTGAACCTGGCCACGTCGTAGTTTCGAATTATTTTTTTTCTGTCTTTTACCGTTTTTACGAACATAGTAATTATTTAGATAAATATGTTTTATATTGTGATGAACTTTTTGTTACATTTTGACCAAATTTAATTTTGTTATTAACGAAGCACCACCTTAAGCAACTTTTACGAAAGTGGCCGGCTGTAGCCGTATTTACATCCGGGTGTCGCATTAGCATCGTGGTTCGCGATTCGAACGTTGCGTGTTGTGTTGGGTCGCAATAAGGACATAGCATCGTGGTTCGCGATTCGAACGTTGCGTTGGGTAGCAATAAGCAACAATTAGCTCATAAGGTAGCCGAAGTTCGGCGCCTTCAGATACCGAAATGTCGGTTACGTGCCTCCTAACAGTGGGCACTAATGGTGCACGTCGTAAGTTGACACTTGAAGAAGCGAACCTACGTGGTATAAAGGCGTCCGCGAGCAACCTGCAGTCTCCTGGCTTCAGAGATAAACTTCGAAAGCGACAGATTTCAGGTAATGTGAACATATTTGAAAAAAATTCGAACACTGCCAGTGCATACATAGGTTTCTTAATGCTGATTTCTTGTGACCTGTGATAGTGTGTATTTTTGAATGAGTAAAGCTATACGCACTCCGGAGTGCACTTCAGACGAAATGGCTATACGCACTCCGCTAAATTCGAATAAAACGAATGGTCAGAACGAGTTTTCTTATCGGGGGCATAGCATATGTTAAAACGTCCGCTTTCTACGTAATGGGAGGCGGGTTTGATACTCGGTGGGCTTACTTTTGTTTTTTTTCTTTTTTTCTCGAACATTTTGTTTTGTCGAGGCATTCGACGATATTTACGACATTCTTTTTCGCGATGAGCACTAAAACAACCGAATGTTGTCGACGAAACTTTTCCAGAGGTGAGATCGGGGACAGCGGGGCTTGGGTTGCCGGCTGGACGCCGCGAAGCTGCGTGTACTGGTTAAATTTTGTAATTAGTAGCCGATACTGTCGCCGCGAAGCGGCGTGAACGCAGGCGGTGGGCTGTGTTAACGAGCTCCCCAGTGATACACGCGCCGTTCGAAAAGGTTGGCCCGAGGGGCATGAGCTCTCGGCTTAGTGCGTATAGCCATTTCGTCCGAAGCGCACTCCGGAGTGCGCATAGCTTTACTCTTTTTTAATTTCTATAACGTATTGTCGCCAATGGCTTGGACCCGATTCCCGTCCTGTGTCGTCATCTGTACGAGCCGTGGGTAAAGCAACTTCTTGTCAGCCAAGAAAGGCAGTTTTGATGGTGCGAAATTATGCTTGTGAGAGCTAGCTGCAGGTGTTCGACACCAGTGACCACATCGATTGCCGCCAGTGAATACGTCCTATATGTAAGGAAAAAATCAATCTCAACATTGAATTAATCAAGACCTAAGTGACCTATGTTGAGATCGCGATCACTGGCTTGTGCAGGAATTTGTGAATCTTGCCTGCTCTCGTTCTGTTGCTGCTATATCTAGTCGTTCACACGCGTTGTGAACGCTTCACGTCAGTGCGTTCCCTCCCGCATGCAATGAGGCATACGAAATGATGCTCCAAGTTTGACGTTTTAATTTGCAATGATCAGTGGCGAATCACAACAACTTATGGTATGCTGGAGCTTCGCCAAGTTGCCTTTGTAATCCGGCTTGCAAAACGTGTGGTGCTCTCTTAATATCATTACTAAAACCCGGAGATCGGGAAAATTGAAGGACAGCACAACAGAAAACCTTACCGGGGTTTTGCAGTAATTATGGTTAACCTTCACCTGCTGGTTTGCGCACTAACTTTTTGTGCTCTCTTAATTTTCCATGCGAAATAAAGGGATGACTGCGACGATACTCCGGAGATTAGTGACAGCATCATTGGACATTTTCAGCTATTACCAGAGCTAACACAGTTTCGAATAGACTGTTGTGGCTCTTTGCTAACGCTGCAATTCTAAGTCTACTGCTTACGTTTTGGACAGGTGCTCGACAAAGATTTTAACGAGTATGTGGACATACCTGACGAGGACAAAATTCATGACATGGCCCTTCTTCGTGTCGTGAAGACAGCACATGGCGGTGAAACTCCAAGTGGAGAGGTCAGTGCCACATCTTGCAACATTACAATGTGTATTATACTTTCTCTTAACCTTTCCAACCTAATTGAATCCTGTAAAAGTAAGGACATTCACTTGTGCCTTCTTATTACTAGCTGCTGTGACATTCATTCTAAAGAAACATCTCTACTTTACTCAACTTGTCCATTGTATCAATGAGAAATTAGTTTGCCCGTTTCCCCTTGCAAAATGAGTGAGACAGAATCAATAACCCAGTGCATTCCTCTTTTCTACACTTGTTATGTTTTGCTGAAAAGTGTTATTGGAGCTGATGAGCAGATTTTTCTAAATGTATTTTCATGGTAACAAGAAACTAAATATATTTATTTTTTGTTTATAACTTTGAAGAACCTGTATAATCGTCAAATTGTCCTCGTACGCCTGATAAATTGTGTTTTTCTTGTTAATTCACGTATTTGCAGGGAAGCTCAGTTGATGAAAACACTCCAGGAACCAGCCAGGAGCGGCATTTCAAAATTACACCAAGGTATGCTCAACGGCCTGCACTTATCACGCCCTTGGCGACGCAATTGAGATACAACTGCTTTCCAGAGAATATCGTCACTATAAACGACGGCACCTCGTTTCGGAGCGTCAAAATTAATCTCACATACTCCCACTCCCCTCTGTATAACCTCTTGCCCTGAAGGTAATCGAAATAAATAGACAGTCCCTTTTTTTAACCCTTTCCTATTCAGTCATGGTGACGACGATGGGGCAGGATTTGTACTTCCGGACTTCGACTTTCTTAAAGCGGCTGCAGCAGAAGGCAAGCCACTCGGCTCCTATGTCACAACGAGAATTGTCGACGTTTTGTTCCAAGAAATGGCAACGCATACATTGTGAGTAAGCTTGCATCAAGTCGTATACCTCTGAAGCTGTCGCTACCTGTTAAGGCCAGTGCTGCAATGGCAGCCAAATATGATTTTTGCAGGTACCCATCCAGAGCGTTTTACCAAAATGTGGGGCGGGCACTCGTATCTCAATACCCACAGCTGGCAGATACCTGTGGAAGTGGCCATGTAAGTGCCTTGTTGAGATGCATTTTCTGTTTAGTCTATTCTCCATAGTAGTACAAGCTCCTAATGGGCAGCTTTTTTGTTTATGACTAAAAAATATGATTTTTTAGTCATAAACATGTTCCTTTGTTTGTGCTGGAAGAGTGCAATATTTCCTTAAAATCTGCTGCAAATTAAAACTTTTACCTGTTTAGGGAAGGGGCGTAATGTAACAAAATCTTAGTCAAAATAAAAAAAAGTAACTGCAGAAAAATATCAAACTGTTGCTGTACATGTTGCGTTTTGTTTTTTTGCATCAACAATAGTGCAATTTTTCTGCATTGTTTGCAAACACGTGTGTTTGAAAACATGGGATTAGAGTTGTGCTCTCTGAGGAGTGCTTGCCCTGTTTTTAACTTTGTGACAGGTTGAAATAAACTGTTTTGCACTTTGGTGCTATACACAAGTAGGGGAAAAAGAAAAAAAAAAGGGAAACGCATCCTGCATGCTGGTTTTCTTGACTGACAGCGTTGGAACATAACCAACTATTTGACGAAAGTCACAGGTCAGAGTTGAATTATAGCTTTGAGGGTAGAAAGGGAAAACCATTTGTATCGCAGAGCCACCACTGAACTGTAGTTATTGAGTTATCTGATATTTCAGGATTCTTGGGTCATGTTTGTAAGGCAGAAGTTCAAAAATGAAAGGAGGAAACTGTCAACCGATCGCGTAATGAGCAGCAGAGAAAAGTATGGCAGTACCGCAAAGAAACCAAGAACTTCCAGTGGAACCACGACAGAAGAGCTGCAGCGTGGCAGCATTGGACAAACTTTGGTTAGTGCTTTAGATTACAGTTGTGTGATAGTTTTTTCTTTAGTTTCACTAAACACAACCTTATTTTCTACGCAGGCACAAAGTTCGACTCCTTGTGGAGAAGATGCGAGTAGTCTGGCGCAGCGTGAGGCATGGCTTTGCCAAGAGTGGAAGAAACCAAATCCTGACAATCAGCAAATGCGCTGCAGACTGGAACTGACGCATCAGGCCAGAGTGGAACAATTAAGCAGACTGTCGGTTGCTGTGGCCGTCACCAAGTATCCATACTTACGAGACGCCGATTTAGTAAGTGCTTTATAATAACCTCAGTAGTATATTTGTGAGTTTTATTTGTCAAAGTTCAGATTCGGCACATGCCAAACATAAAATAAGGAAAAAAAAGATTTGACAAGAATTTAGCAGAATCGAAGTATGTATCTATGTCCTTACGTTGTGAATACACATTCTCAGGTGTCTGCTGAATCGTTTTCGAATCAACATCATTCAAATGTTACTAGGAAATTGTTTTATTCATTTAGAAATACGTTTTGTTACCTTTTCTATCAAGACTGGTTTTTCTGCGCTGCTGTCACAGCTGAGACCTACTCTAAACAAATATATAAGCCCTCAGGTATTATCTTCGTCCCCCTGCAAGTTTACCCTACAAGTTTGTTTCAGTTATAGCTGTCCACGACGGCCAGCTCTGCATGCGAATACTGTATTTGAAGTGTGTTTCTATCTTTTTTAATTCTGCAAGCTTTTTGTTTTCTAAAATATTTCAGTTTTTCCACGACTTTAATATGCTACTCAAGAAAGATGGAGCTGCAGCTGTGGTGGAAGGGATGCAAATTGTCCTGAGCCTAGCCCTCGGGGATCGCTTGGGAGCCAAAAGAAAGGACACGATGCCTGTCTTGGAGGCTGACAAGGCGACAGCTTGTGCAAGGCGCAAGAAACGTATGTTCATCAAGACTTGTTAAAAATTCAGTGCGGCCATGTTATGTCGCTAGTGTTTGCTGTAGCCTACTAAGAATTCCATTCTGCTTTGTGCAAGTTTAGAGTCACCAGAGTGCACATTAGTGTTCTATGATACAACAGTGACCCAAGACATTCTTGGTATGCAGTGTATTCACTGAAACCGATCAGCACAGAAGCGTCATTACCATTGTAAGGTTCTCTGAGCAATTGAGTTAGTGAACTTATCCACCTCGAGATGAAACCACACTGCCACTAAAAGACAGAAATGGTAACTGCTTTCTTTTACTTTTTTGCTGATTGTTGTGGAAAAAGATGCATTCAAAATCAGTTGTTCAGCTTATCCGAATAGAGGCCCAGCGAGCTTTTACAGCAGACGGAGGTGTAATAGCTGAGGAAGCTGATGTTTATAATTGGAAATGCACGTGGTGGACATTTGATTCGATAATGCTGTGATTTACTGAAGAATTACATATTTCCCACTAGAATTACTTCAAACTACAATATTCAACAGAATACTTAGAATTCTGTGGCGAATAGTTTTAAAAAGCCGTATGGTGACCTTGTATTGTCCACGCTTTGATGGTAGCGCGACGGTAACGCCGCCTCCTTGTGTATCTCGGCGAATTGCCTTTATAAAGATTTCCAAATTTGCCGAGCAGTCGTTTTTATACTTACAGTGCTCTAAATCTTGCTTTAATATTGCAGCTTATAATGCAACAGGTCTGAATTTGCTACCAGTATTTGTCTGAGAGGAACCAGCTTGTTTTAGGCAAAATATTTACAAGATACGCTTTGCATGGGGGGGGGGGGGGGGGTAGGAGTAAACAAGGGATGGCCGGAAACGAGATGAGGATGAGAAAAAGCGTTAGGTAAAGAAAAGACTAGTCTTACTTTCCAGTCTTTTTGGTTCTTAAACAGCACAAAGTTTATATTGAAAGAAAAATTAAGGAGTATGTGATGTGTTCATATTGCAGACATCCGGGCTGTACGAACCTTGCAACTCCTGGCGACACTTGTTCATCAACCAAGAGCAATGGAAGCAATGTTTGTGCCTCTGGTAAGTTTATGCAACATAGGGCTATCCTGAAAGCTTGAAATTGAAATGGAGATATACCATCCTGTCATAATTGTGTGTTACATTAGCTTAACAACAGATCACGTTTTCTAACAGGTCCGTCTTTCACGTGGATAAGACAACAATTGTTGCGGCAATTAGGTCAAGCAGCACTGCACATATCCTGTTGCTTAAATTCTTTGCCTTCTTTGCTGTACCAGATGTATCGCAAAAGTTTAAACGGGGTTTGAGTAAAAAAAAAACAACAGGAAACTCTTTTCCACAAAAATGTTCTATAAATCACAAAGAGCTGAAAATTCGAGCTAAATATGTGACTGAAAGTACAATCAAAATCTCGCTTTGCGTGAACATTGAGGTACATGACTGGGTACTTTCGCGTTTAAAGAAAGCATATTACGACTGTACATGATCGTTATAAGCACTAGGTGCCTAATTTTTTTTTTCTGGGGTGGGAAAGCCAAAGTCAATGTATTACATTCAAGCCCATACAAAAATGTCCTATGGTCGGCTATAGAAAATTCTTTGTATGGTCGGCTTTAGCTATTTGGCCCAATTAGCTAAAGAATTTTCTATGGCTGTCTTTAGCATTTTTTAAGGTCGCCTTTATGGGCCTTTTTAGCTTTGTCTATGGCCCTATCGCTGTCCAGCCATAGCGCTCTTTAGCTTTTCTAATGGTTGGATAAAGACTTCTCTGTGACTTTCCCTATGGCTCTCTTTAGCCAGCAAACCCTAAAAAAAATTTACTTGAAGTTCCCCGACTTGCGAGCGCTACATGGTGTATGTATATCTATGTGTATATATATATGTATGTGTAAATCAATGTATAGATATAAATACATCTCTGAACACACAGAACACAAGCAGAACACTTCCCCACACAGCAGCAACAACGCAGATCTACAAACGCTAAAATTGGTTTGCTCTTTATGTTTATACAGCCTTGATGGAGATGCGCCTCAACGGGTAATCGGTCTCTTAGCTGTAGATGAGAAATTTAGCCAGTGCAGTACAACCGCTAACCTGGGGTTTTTAACGTGCATCACGCAGTAGTGATCACACGAACGTGTGCCGGTACGAAACTCATCCAGATCGAAACGGACGGGGGCGGCGGGGATCGCGCCCAGGAGGTTCCCAGCGCAAGCTTTCGCTCCACGCTCCGAGCTGAGACGCGTTAGCCCACTCGGCCACTTCCTCCCCTCTACAAACGCTATGTTCGCACTAGCTGTATATATGGCAGTCTAATTTTTGAATCCGACTTTGCCGGTGACCCATTATTTGTCGCAAAAACACTGAGAGGCGGAGCAAATATTACTCGTACTTAATACATTATTTGAATTGTCTCTTGGAATAGCCCGCATCTCTTACTTCAAAACCCTGAAAAAAGCAAATGTAGATCATTAGGCTAATTAACTAAAATGTATTAATTATCTTTTTAATAAGTTTGATGAATCACGTTGACAATGCAGTGATGACATGCAGTACACTGGTACTGAAGATTGCAATCAATCTATTGCTTGATTGCAGTGTTCGGCGCCAGTGTAAGTTATTTTCACTTTTCGGGGGTAATAATTTTAATTGTTGCACAAGTATTTTAATGGGTTTTTCAAACAAACAATATTACTGGTTTTCACGACTCGTTGGAACAGCAGAGAACATATCTAGGGTCATGGTTTGTCACCGGCCTGACAGAAATTTAGTATTGATTTAATTTTCTAACGTGGAGTGTTTTTACTAAAAAAAAGTAAGCGCCGGTAGTGATTTTCTGTAGGCGTGGAAAGAAAATGTATTGGTTCTTAGTCTTTAGACTCGGGGCCATAAATTTTTCTATAGACCGCTAAAGACAATTTATTGCTTTCCAGTCTTTAAACTCGAGGCGAAGGAGTTTTTCATAGGCGGGAAAAGAGCATTTATTGGGTCGCTGTCTTTAGACACGGGGCCATGTAATTTTCTATAGGCGTCTAAAGAAATTTTATTGGTTCCCAGTCTTTAGACTTAAGGCCATAAGATTTTCTATGGACGGTTAAAGACAATTTATTGGTTCCCAGTCTTTAGACCTGTGACCAAAGAGCTTTCTATAGGCGGGTAAAGAAAATTTATTAATTCCCAGTCTTTAGACACAGGGCCATAGATTTTTCTATAGCTGGCTGTAGCTGTCTTTATGGATCTCTATGGCCGACCATAGAGGGCCATAAGGGGTGATAGCCTGCCATATAAGTTTCCCCCCCGGAAGAAACGAATGAGTATATTGTAATGAATAACCAACTAGCCCCACAGTTATTTTTGAGTCTATTGCACCTTAGCCACGCCAAAGAGAAGTTAGAGTCCGTTTCGGTCCGGGGAGTGTAGACGACCATAGACCATTTTTGTATGGGAAGGGGCTCTATAGTTATCAATATAATTTTGGCATACGGCGTGCAAGTGTGTCTGCTGCTCGCGCACCTACTGTGTTTGTTTAAACCTGGCTTGTAGACACATGCTTTCGTTTACGCCCCGATTTTAGCCTATGACAGCTCACAATAAAATGACGAGTCATCGTGCATTTGTAGTGACTCCGCGCATTTCCAAGGCGTATCTTGATTGCCGTGCTTTTTTCATTTTTTTCACTAAAGCTTCCACGAATGTTTTCATGCACAAAAGACACATTTTTGTCTGCTTGAACGTCTATATCGCTAGTGTTTCAGACTACATGGTGGGCAGGCCTGGCTTGCTCCAAACTGTACAATTGTGATCCTGTGACTCTACACTGCTGCCCCGGATTGTCTTTTTCTATGCAGGAAGGGGAGAAACCGTCTACACCATGCATTGCTTACAGTGGCACCTCTGTTGAGCAGGCAGACGACCTGTTCCTTTACATTGAGAAGCAGCAGTTACTGCGTGTGATTAATGCTGAGCAAGGCATTGCTGCAATGATGGCGGCGTACTATCTTTTTGACATCAACTATGCTACAGCAGCACACAGTTTGTGCTGCGTTGTAGAACATTTATTTTTTGGTGTTCGTGTAACAAAACCAAGGTGCGCAACACAGCGCTTCATCTCTTCTTACGTGGCAGAGTTCTCCAGTGTTCAGCTGCAGTCTTCTGCCAAATAAGCAATCTGCTCACAAACCAACGTGTTTTAAAAGAACAATAAATTTTTCGAGTGATTGTTCCGCTATGTGTGTTCTTTAAATGACTATACTCGAGCATAGCTTTCTGTGGCAATGCAGCCGGAGCTGAGGGTGGCGTGTGGCAACTGGGCGCCGGTGCGGAGCGCAGCCATTGGCTGCGATATGATAGCAGCCGATGACTGCGCTCCCCACCGGCGTCCAATTGATCCCGGCCACCCACAGCTCCGATTGCATTGCCGCAGAAAGTTGTCTTTGAGTATTCCAGACCTACAATGACCATCAGATATGTGGCATGCATCAATAAGGCTCAATAGGGGTTATAAGGCTTCCTAGAATTTGCACCCTTTTAACACCCTGATAACACCCTTATATCAAAGGGTGGTGACAGGCTGCAGACACCCTTTATCGATAAAGGTGCACCTTAAACCACAACACCCACGAAAAGGGGTGTGTAGTCATTCGGAAGCACCCTTTCTTAGGGGTGCAAGGGGGTGAGTTATAGACACAAAAATGCACCTTTAAGAGTGCAAATTTTTTTACAGTGTGCTTACCAAGGCAACAAACACGTGTTTTGCTGGGTTGTGAATTTGTAGATAACATCTCCAGTGCTGACAAATCAGCGCGGGTGCGAGTGTGGTTTTGAAAAGTGTCTTTTGTGCGCGATTTCTCGTGTAAACAAAATAATTCGGATGAGCTGAGGTCACTGGACAGGCTGAACTAGCCTCATACACTTGTGGCATAAACTTTTTGGTTCTATGTTATCTGTTCTTGTGTTATATTGTCAAAGCTAGCGTAGCTTCAATGTGCAGCAGCCCCGCACTGCTGCGAGAGCACGTGGCTTTGTCTATTACATTTCATTCGCATGCGTTCGCGCAACTATCTGTGATGGAGTTGGAGCACTGTGGAAGCTAAGCTAGCTTTGACAACATAGCACAAAGGAGACGCTGCAGTCCCGCCCTGCTATACTCTGTTTCATACTTAGTGTGCAAGGCTCTCAAAGCTACTGGCGCGAGCATGGGGCTTGACCTCGTTGATCATTTGCACGTGTTCTCGCGCAAACGAAACCATAGATGAAGCCACGGGCTCGCGCCAGTAGCTTTGACAGTGTTGCACGCTAAGTATGAAACAGAGTATAGCACTGTTGCAAGAAATATATGTGGCCACGTGGCTTCGTCTTGCGCCTTATTTGCACGCGCTCTTGTGCAAAGGAGGCGCCGTAGCAACACTCTATTTGCTCGCGCAAGTAGAGTGTTGCTACGTTTGTTGCACGTCTCAGCCACTTGCACGCGCAAGTAGCTTTGACGGCTTTGTTTGAAGGTTTGTGTTTTTCCGTCCTCTTCTTTTCCCTTGCTGGCGCAGTCGGGGAACGGTCAGGGCATGGTGTGCTCCCGGGGAGTGGGGGGGATCTGAGACCGAGTGGGCTAGCGCACACCAGCTCGGAGCACGTGGAGCGAAAGCTCGCGCTGCAGAACCCAGGGATCCTGGGTTCAATCCCCACCCCTGCCCGTTTCGAGCGGGATGAGCATCGTACCGGCGTGCGGTCGTGCATCACTACTACGTACTGCACTGGCTAAATTGCTTATCTACAGTGGGTTACAATGTCGCCATGTTCTGGCAGGCTAAACTCGTCCACTATAAACAACTAACAACTAATTTGTTTGGTTTCCTGTCCCTGGGGAAGCTACGCTGGCTACGCCGCTACGTTCGCCTTGATAGCGTGGCGGGCGTGGCACGCTGACACTTCCAGCGCCCACTTGAGCTCTAGCGGTAGTCTGAAGCAACTATGCGTTGCTAGGAGGCGTTGGTTGTGTTTGTTGCTTGAAGAGATTTCAAGATGGCCGAAACTGTGTCGCGGGGCAGTCGATGCAACGTTTCAAAGTGGTGCTTACCGGTGTTACAATGTCACTCGAGCACAGCCTCGGCGGGATCAGCGAGAGCGGGACATTGTGGGACAGGCAGGTCGGTTTCATCACCGCTATCATGATTTGAAAATGCTGCCGGCATGCAGCAACCATCTCGTTCGAAGACTTCGTCGTGAGGTGCGAGTACTTGTGAAGTTAGCACCGAATAGCCCAGCGTAATTCATAGCTTCAACACGGCAAACAGAACTGGTATCTCGTGTGTTTCCTTCGTACTGTGAAGGTTGGGAATTACGCAGCACTGTGAGCCTTGAACCACTATTCGCACACCCCATGTCTCGTGGTTTTGCCCACAGATCTTTGCTGCACCCCGCTCGTAACGTCCACAGAAGGGCAGAGACGGTGTGTGTATATGTGCGTGTCCTTTTTACGCGCCGCCTTCCTCCTTGTGTGTCTCAGGTTTGACTATGTTAACAAGTGCGACTTAGAGCACCGCAGCGGAAAAGTGCTTAGGAGAAAAAGGTAATTAAAATAGTAGCAGTCAGCCCGTTAGAATATGGTCTTTGAGTGTACAGTTTAAACCCTGATCCGTCTAACCTATTTTAGACTGTCCGAAAAAATAAGTTTCCCACCGTTGTGTGCTGCGATTTCCTACAGAGGGGCATTAAGTCACTTCATCATGATCACGTGTAACGCAGGAACAGTGTATTGTAATGACTAGGTTTATTGCTAGTGAATGAAACCACTAGGTCACGTTGCTCAAGAAAAAAAAATATAAACTTGCGAAAGCAGACGTGGCATGTTGATCATAAATAATATAAGAAAATATCGCGAAACAGTACTTCTCTTCCACTTGACTTTGGCAAAAAGTCATCTGTGATAACCCTGTCGCTCACCCTTTACTTCTTTAACATAATTTAAGAAGAAAAAAAACGAAACTGGGGCTGTTTCAAATCTTACCAAAATGGATTCGAGTTACTCTGGCAGATCGTATCACGTGAAAGCACAGATTGAAAAACGCTGGACGCCGGTAGGTTTTAGAACGCCAAGGGTACGAAACCCTTACCCTGGAGTAAGATCGAGTAAATTTTGGAACACGGCCTTTGTTTCACCTTATGATGTACCGCAGGAAAGGCTACAAGCGCGAGCTCCTTGCTCTAGGGCACATCTCGGCGGCACAAGCTCTCGTGCGTTAAGAGCAGCTCCCAACGCTATGAGCTCACGTTTCTTGCCTTCTCTGGGGTACAACATAAGGTGAAACGGAGGATAGGTGGTGCAAGTTTGGATGAAAAATATAAACGAAAAAACTTACCACATTCAAAAAAGAAAAACCTGCCTCGGAGAGGCAGGTGCGACTTGGTCAAAGAGCTTCCTAAATCAAGGAGGTAGTATAGCAATTTTAGATGACCGAGCACATACGTCTTGATTGAGGCTAAAACGGCTCAATGCCTAAGAAAGTGGAACAGCACCCATGGTAAACAGCCAAGTGGCGAAGCGTGCCGAGGCACAGTAGACTAGGGCTTGCCCAGTCAAGGGGTTAGCCCAAACAGGAAGCGGCGGGGGCCGCAGAAGGCCCAGCGGGGCCTTTTGTGACCCCTGCTTTTGCGGCCCCTGCTGCAAAAATGATTTTAGAATGTTCGTTAATTCCTGCCCCTTTTTTATTGCTAACATTGAAAAAAATCTTCTACGATTCCCTACTCTGTTGGGCGTAATCTCATATCACACGACAATTCAGCTTTTTTGCTTGTTAGTTTGGCCAAGGATGGAATTTGCATAAATTGTTTGGAATTCAATAAGTGTAAGTCAAGTGCTTAAAGGGGCCCTGCAACAACTTTTTAACTGGTTTTTAATTTGCACCGAACCTGAGCGCACTGAATGTAGTTGCTTAATAAAACTTTTCTCAAATTTTGCTTTATTTTAAAAGTTATAGGCAAATTAAAATTACAAAAACAAGCAAAAAATAGCCTTCCTCATGACGCCCTTGGTCCTGGCTTGAGTGGCCGTGAACTAGAGGAGGGGTAGTGAGCTCAGCGGGCGCTCACGGCTGCTGCGCTCTGTGTCGACGGCTCGGGAGGGTGCCACTAAAGCATATGCTGGATTAGCTGGATGAAGCGAGCGGCCAGGGCGGCTCGCATTGCATTTGCTGCGCGATTAAACACTAATTCGGCATGACACTCCATTGGCCACAAATGACAGCAAACACGGGGTAAAGATCAGCTCAGGACAGGAGCCACTTCGCGCTACCAAACTGCCAAACCGCAAGCCACACCTGCTCACCGAAGGCCTTCGGAATGCTCGGAACCGGTCGGATCTTCGAGCCCATGCGACCGCAGCGCTGCCGCATACATCAGGGAAGTTTCTACGCTTGCCGCTCGTTGGTGCCTGATCCCACTACCCCTTTCTAGTATGTGCCGCCTTTTCCACCGCTGGGTGGTGGGTATGTCGACGGGTCATTTCTTGTTTCCATACTTTATAAACTGCATTCGTTTCTTTTCTGATCTAAAATACTGAACAAAAACTACTTTCATAAATAATTGAAATGGTTTGCACCACTTATATTTTGTATTTCGACTAGTAAAAAAGCTTTTAGAGGCTCTGATCAGTAGTAAGGCCAGAACCAAAAACGTCTTGATGTCGTCACATATCGAGCGCTTTCGGCACTGCGGGTCGCCTCCGTAGATGGAGGTTTTCGCGTCGTCCGGTTAAAATATGATGCACTGATATTTAGTTACTCTCTCCGTGCCCGCTGGCTTGCCCGAACCCCAAGAGACGTGGAAACCGCAAAAAAGGTAGACGCTTGAATATGATTGCAGGGCCCCTTTAAGTTGGAATATGTCCAGTGACGATTTGTCAGGCCTATGTATGATTGCCATATTGGACAACAATTTTATTATGGTTATTCATATCTTTTGGCAACTTTCACCTCTTTCCATAAGGTGACTACTTTGTGATATGGTGTTTCTTTACAAATTGATTAATGCTGTAAATCTCTTATTTCTACTCACCACAGAATACCGTGCATCCGCCCGTTCCATATTAAGCGCCCATATCCAAATTTTTAAGATAGAAAAAATATGCACAGTACATTTATATGGGTGATTTCATTTGAATTCGACCAAACTTGTCGAGGGGGGGGGGTCTTTAGATTTAATCGTAAAAAATATAT